ATTCTATGTATTTAGAATCACTTCAGCAATTATATTCACATGGATAATATATTCATTTAAGTACATGGAGATTGCAATTTTGTATGATGTACCTAAAAAACAGTTGAACACGTACTCCTTGCACATATATATGTAAACATGAAGTTATGTAAATTTGCAGTGTTTTTGAACACACTACCATTAGCTTTATTTACCCTGACTTTGTATATAGTATAGTGTTTTACTCTTCTACGTATTCCTTATAATGTGATGCAACACATCAATTGAAGCTTAATTCAGAAATACAGTCTTTGCTAATACTTTTAACTATGCTTATAGTAACAAAAAAGGGAGCTCACTGGGTGATACACAGGTATTCATCTTAGTTATATTATTATGAAGAAAAAATTAATTTTTAGTTCATCTTAGATTTCTCTAATTAGTAGTTTATATATGACCAAAAGATAGAAATATTTAAGTTTTGTATGCCATTGTATGCTTACATCAAGCTAATATATTGGGTGTTCAACCAACATTTGTTAGATGAATGCATGGGTAGGAATTATTGATTCTGATTATCTCACTAATTTTGAGATAAGTTATTGATATATGCATGTGTGTGTATCTGTGTGTGTGTATCCATGTGAGTGTATATGTGTGTGTGTGTGTGTGTGTGTGTGTATGCTTTATGGTTATCACTATGCAAATAATCCAAAGCTATGCACTTAAAGCATCTTACTATTTTCTATGAATTATAAACATCTTGTCACATGTTCTATCTATCTACTGGGATGATAGAAATTGATAGAAGATCCCTGAATATTGCCTAAGTTAGATTGGGAAAAGTACCTAACCAATTTATGCTGCTGAGCATCCCTCCATTGTAAAGAGATATTTATACCATAATTGTTTTTAAAACTCCATGTATTATAGGAAATATAAGAATACTCAGTGGGCATTTTATCATAAATAATGAGGAACTTGATAATAGATAATAATGCAAATGTCTTTATTAACATCATCTTCCTACATACAATATTTTATACTGTTTCATTATTCTGTTTTGATTAGCAGTGCCAGTTGAAACACTAAAATTAATTTAATATATCAGAATGAAACCCAGTTGCAATATTGTTTTTCATTTGCACAGAGGAGTTCACATTGGATTAGAGGCTTTCCTCTGAACCTGAGGAACTTATGACAATTGATGGGTGTCAGTTCTTTAGTTTTTTTGTACTGAAACAAAACAATAAATAAAAATGAACCTTTGGTCCAATCTGACTAATTTAAATTAATTATGGAATTTCCATAATTTATTTACTTTAGCTTGTATAAATACTAGAAACATATACAGAATAAAATCATTCTAAGGCATGTGACATTTTGAAGTCACTGTGAAAGCACCAATTTTTAACATATGAAGCCTTCAATACTAAAATCATGTTTGGTGTGTCTTTGCTATACTTTTTTTTCTTTTGAGATCTAGAAAGCACTTTAATATTTTATGTTTCCAAGTGATCGAGAGTTTCAAAAGAAATGGCAAGTCCTGTATTTTAAAAAAACTGATAAAAGTCACCCTGCAATATCAGTGAGTTCAGAACTTCATAGATCTGTTTCCAACTTTTTCACCATGATTCTCCATCAAGGTCAAAATATTTTTTGTACAATCCAAGGATGTAGACAGTTGTAGCAGCACAACTGTGCAGTTAGTGTCATTACATGGGGGAAGGGCAGAATCCTTGTGACAAGAATCTATCAGTGAAGGCAGCTTAGTTGGTGGTTTATCTTCAATATCAGAACCATGCTCTGAAGTCATTACTGCACGTCATAAAGCCAGGGTTGGTGGGCGAGTGCACTATGCAACACACAGTGTTATTGTACCCCAGGTAGTTTCTCTACTCAGCTGTCCTTGATTCCCAGCAGCAGAGACTGATTGTCCTTTCCTCCAGTAGCACATAGTTGTCTGTGTGGTTAAAGACAGCCTGTGTCCTGTGCACCTGCATCCCACTAAGAACTGCATTTTGTGTATCTGACCAGCATTCATCCTATTGATCTCTCCCAAAGTTTAGCTGCAGTCTCCTTTCCATCGATAGAATGTATATAGAATTTTTGGAATAAATGGCAGAACAGACTTATGACATGCTTTCTCAAGTTGCAATGCATTGATTTGAAACACCATCCCATAATATAATGCAGCTATCCTGATTACATACATTGTGGCACTCAGAGTGAAATTAGCAGAACATATAGCTTGGTATATGATCTTGAAGATTGCAATAGACGAAACACTGAAAGGTGCTGATATGATAAAGGCATAGAGTAGGGTGCTGAGTCCCAAAACGTATAAAGTCTCCACAAGGGTGAAAGGAAATCTTCGCTATTCTTTGAATCCTATTTATCTGAGCCTGTACTTGTGATTCCTATGGAAAACATTTCTAAAGGAAGGAGGCCAAAGTCACTAACAGTCACTGCTCAATATCTTCTTAACATGAAGAAAACAATGTTTTTGAAAGCCTGTGTAGTTGAAAAACTTTTAGTTTAATTTTTTTATTTTAATCAAACTTCATTGAAAATGCTACTGTTACAACTACTATTAATCTTATCCTCATGAAGAACTTTTTAAAACTTGCTTTACCATAGTGATTCTCAAAATGTTAGTATTCATTCATGTAATTAGTACCGCTTTTTGAACCCAGGATTTAAGCCACATTGTATGGCACAAGGAAAATATATGAATTTTCAAGAAACAGAACTGTGAACTACACATTTAGGCTATCTAAAGTTTTAAGAATTTCTTCATTTAAATGGGAAAGTTTAAACTATATTTTAATTAAAAAATGCTAACGTATAACAATACACTAATAAGCATTGTCTTTGTCTGGGTTACCATATGCCAATTAGTTTGCATTATAATCTTAATACAGCTTTCTTATTACAGCATTTTTTTTTTGTACTTGGGATAAAAATCGGGACCTTGTGCTTGGGAGGGCAGGCAGCAGAACCACTGAGATAAATCCCCGGCCCTACAGCATTTTTATTCTATGTGTACCTTGTTAATTAGTTTCCCATAGTGGAATTAAGACCTGTGAAGAAATAAGGTCTTGTTTTCTTTTTTTTTCTTTTTCTTTTTTTTTACTGTCTCTTTGAGTGTATTAAAATTTCTTTATGTTTCTAGTAATTTCAGTATGATTCTGTTATTTTTTAATAGAAGGAATGCCTGTTGAACTATTATTTCTTATGTATAGTTGTCTTAACCTGGAAATATCTTGAAAATTAGAATAAATCTAATGTTGATTATTGCATAGGAAGAACATTGCTTTTAGAAAGATCCTTTAAGGAACATTTGTGATGATTTTAAAAGAAAAAATATTAAAGGTTATTTTTCTGGTAGTAGTAGCAATAATTCTGTACTGAATTGTAATAGCAAACAACTTTTGACAGCTTATTAAATCGTGATTTTTAAATGTGATTAGCTTGCCTCATTAGATTGTACATCACTTTAGATTGGTCAGTCTGGTAAAGCTTAGAACTGTTAAAACCTTAGTTTTTATGTAATTCATTTTAATCTGCTTTTTTCTACTAAACTAATTTACTTTTCTGTGTTTTACATAATTAAAGGAAATTTTAATGTACTTGCAGTACTTTATACATCCCATAATATCACACTCAAAGTTTCCCACGTGCTAATATTCATGAACATGTTGCCTTAGTAAAAATATACTATTGTTGTGTGTTGCTTTTTCTCTTAAAAAAAACTCATTTGTGAAGTCCTTCACTAAGAATAGAACTACAATAATATTATCGCCTCTATATGAAGTTATATTTTTAACAGTGATAAAGAAGTCTCATAGGGCCGGGGATTTAGCTCTGCGGTTCGGTGGCCTGCCTTGCAAGCGCAAAGACCTGAGTTCAATTCCCGGTACCAAAAAAAAAAAAAAAAAAGTCTCATGAACAATGATGAATGTATCTGTAGTATATACCTAAAAAAGTACAAATAAATGCAATGAAAAAATAAAAGAATTCTCATGAATTTAGAGATAAAGCTTTTTATTCTACTTGATTTGAAAAAAATATTGGCTTCACTTTTCTCACAAATTTAAGATGCATACATAGATTCCATTAAATCCCTGTTTTTATATCGGAAAAGCTAAACTGCCACACACGAGTACCATGGTAATTGTAGTGTTTCTCTACAGGACCGTTTAGGGAGCTGACTTGCTTCATTTTTTATAGCAGATAACCACATTGTTTTGGGGACTGGTTTCTCTAGACCACGAACTGATGTAGATTATGGGGGTGCTAATGCCACTCTTTGGCACTACTGTGTCTTAGTTTCAAATAGTTTAACCATTTTATGTTAAAGAGTTTTCTTTTGAAGAACGTAAAAGTTTTTCTTCGAAGAAAGCAAATGGCATTTTTTAAACGGTAGAAAAAATTTAACTCAAAAGCCCTCATCATTGAGGTTCTTTAATTATGTGTATGCAAATGAATGCTACCTTGTGCACCTTGCAAATAGTTCATGCTTATTCTTCAAAGCGGTCTCAGCAGGAATTTCTCTATGGCAACCTGTTTAGCAATTAAAGTTACGTGGGTACATGAAAGCAATTTCACTGAATTAAAGAAATGTCTGTATTTTAGCCTGTTTTAAGGGATAGCCATGTCTTCCTTTTTCCTCAATTAGTCCAAATTAGTGAGATTTTATTACATATTAATTCCAGGGTTGCTGTTGATACCTGGTACAAGAGTAATTAATGTTGTACATTAGTTGGTTAAGAAGCAGCAATCGATTTTTGGGTCTGTTTGGCTTATCTATTCTGCTTAAATTATAATATTTAATTTTGTAGGAAAACCTCTAAGCAGGTCTGTATTTTTATGTTTATTCTCTTCCTTAAACTACTGAAATAAATATATATATTGATTTCAGAGTGGGCTTTATTGATGTCTTTAATATACCTACTAATGTTATTGTGTGTACTTGGATTTGTACTGTAATTATTTATGTATCAACATTTTTGTTTTAGTTAAAAAAAATGCAGATGCTTCAGAAGAAAAGAAGACTGTGCCTGCAAAGAGGAAAGTAAAAGAATTGAGAATTTTGGATCCCAAAACAGCTCAGAATCTCTGTATGTAATGTTTTCTGCATTGGGATGGTGTGGTACTGGTGAAGAGATGTTGAATGTATTTAAACTAAGTCACAACTCCTTTTAACAGGCATATGTAGTATCTTGAAGCAAAATTATATCTAAATATGATTTGTGTTGCCTTTTTGTCACTTAGCTAATATGGAGGAAATCATAATTTTAGTCTTGTTCAGTTCAGAAGAAACTTATGAATAATAAAGTTCTGCAAAGTATTGTTAATAAAACATTGTTATTTAACATGAAATGTAAGACAGAATTTCTCCTGCTTACAATTGAGATTGGTAATTTGGGGATATTCATTGGGAATATACTGGGAAAATCCCTTCACTGCTTTTCCTTTATATTTGAAGTAACTGCAATATGAGTCAGTTAACTTGTTATCTAGTGCACTTTAAAACTGGTTACTGAACCTTGAAACTTTCAACAAACCATTCAGCTCTTAAGTATGCTTTTGCTAAAGTAGCTGGACGTTTAAACTCATCTTCATTGAAGGAAGTCTTTAAATTTTACTTTGATATACTTTCCTGTCTTCATTTAAATTGACGTTTTTTTGGCATCAGGGATCGAACTCAGGTCCTTGTGCTTGCAAGGCAGGTGGTGGAATCACTTAGCTGAATCCCCAGCCTGTCTTCATTTAATTCAGAATATTTTTTGTCCTTCAGTAGTCTGTGTAGATTCTTAGGATACTAAAATTCTATGCATGAGAAATTTCAATATATGAAACATTTCTAATTGCCCAAATACCACCATGGGAATTACTTTTGTTAATGACTATGCTACAGACAATCTGATTAAAATAAACAACTTAGTATTCTTGCCTCAGTAGCAATATTGCTGTCAGAAAAAAAAGTCTACTAATAGCTGTTATGAGTTTGTATATTGCTTACTTGGTAGTGAGTTTTCTTTAAAAGTTGATATTAAGTCTTTTGTAGAAATCCAGAATGATCTCAATTGCTGGTTAATAACTGTCAACATCGTTAACTTAGATTGTGAAGATCTCATTTGGTCTCTATGTCTAGGTAATCACTGTCCAGACAGCGATGACTCAATTTTCTTTGGTACCAGTGAAGTTATTTACACCTTTTCATAAAATTAGAAAAAAAAATTCTTAGAAATAGCTCAAACCTTTATAGTTATAGTTCTTTGCAAATTATATTTAGTGGGCAATTAAAGTAGAATATGTTGAAAAATACATTCTGAGTAATTGTGAGCTATTCCAGGTATAATTTGTTACAGTATTCCAATATGACCTGAGTGTCCAATTAATAAAAGTTGACAGGAAAAATGAGTGCATCTATAAAGCAACTAATAGTATACTCCATGAGTGTCAGCAGGAATTCAGAGTACACTGATGATTAAGGCACTTAAATTTGCTTCTGTGTGGGAGAAATACAAAGTACAGTAGTCCCTCCTTGTCTTCATGGGATATATTCCAAGACTTCCCTTGGATTCATGGAAGCACAGCTAGAACTGAACCCTGTACATACTATATTTTTCTATGCATACATTCATATGCTAAAGTTTAGACAAATTAGACACAGTAATGGCAATAACAAAGTAGCACAATCATACCAATGTGCTGTAATGAAAGTTAAGTGACTCTGGCCTCTCCTCTCTTTCTCAAATTATCTTATTGTACTATGCTTGTTATAATAGGAAGAGATACATAAAGGAAGGACTTTGCCATCTTCTCTTTGGAATATTTAAACTGCTAGCATCACTACTCTTATGCTTTGGGGCTATTATTAGTTTAAAATAAAGATTAAATGAACAAAAGCATTGAGATCATGTAAAGTTAATCTAATTACCCAGAAAACGATTAAGTGATTAAGAGACAGGTGCCATATATATTGCAGATACAGTGGAAAAAGAGATGATTCATGTTGTGATTGGAACAGAGTAAGATGGCATGAAATTTTATCATGCTACTCAGAACAGCACTCAACTGAAAACTTTAAATTGGGCTGGGGGTTTAATTCAGTGGTTAAGTCTCCTGCTTCACAAGCACAAGGTCCTGAGTTCGATCCCTGGTACCAAAAAAAAGAAAACTTGAAATTGTTTCTTTCTTGCACTTTCCATTTAATGTTTTCAGACTACAGTCCATGACAAGTAAAACCATGGGAAGTGAAACCCCAGAGATCATGGAGGACCATTGTCGATTAATACAATTTTATTTTAATTTGATAACTTTACTGCCATTCCTGAAAATACTGTCTTAAATGCATCTGACAGTCTCTACATTCAGTTCTTTATTGAATTAAGATGCCGACTTGAAATAAAATCTCTTAAGTTTATATGTGTCATTTTGTATTTCAATCTAAAAATGCCTGAGCATATAGTTATAAGTGCAGTTAGTGGTTTTATTCTATGTAAGTATACATGAACTTTAAGCATTGTGATAATCTGAGATAATGGGTCATTTTGCCTAGATGGTTAGAGTAGCCTGTCAAATGGAAGCAGGTATTGTTTGTCCATAACACATTATATTAGCATTAGGGACAAATTTTATATTCTGAATCTATAAAATGGCAAGTAGCTGTATCTAGGAATTTTATATGTTGGTGCTATTTTATTTTTTAATAAAACCAAATTTTGTTTTAGCTATCTTCTTGGGATCATATCGCATGCCATATGAAGACATTAAAAACATCATTCTGGAGATTAATGAAGACATGCTGAGTGAGGCCTTAATTCAAGTAAGTTGGATATTCTTTTTAAACCTGTTGCCATGGATATGTCTAGAGTGCTATCTTCTCAATGTATCTGTTATAAAATGGTCATCTGTATTTGAAAAATAGAATCAGGAGTACCTAGCTATGTTGATATTAAGAGAACTTACCCTTTAAGATCCTGATTCTAATTCTGTTTTAGTACTTCATTAGATCTATGTCCTTTTAAATATAAGCATATGCATATATAGACATATCATTCTCTTTCATTTACTATACTTGAAATTACATGTATTATCATCACAATGGCCCCATTAAGTCGCTATTATGACCCCATTATGTAGGAAAATACTGAAAGTTCAAGAGGTTAGAAAGCTTCCTCAAGATTAATGAGTAAGTGGTGAAGTTATCCTTTTCCGTATAAAGAACAGGCTGGGAAACATGTCAAAGGCTTCATGTGTTTATTATCTCACTGATTCCTATACTAAACCTGTGAAACTTATCCTCCTTTTCCAAAAAGGGAAAACTGAGGCTTAGAAAGATCACTCAATCTCATGTGGCATGCCATTGACAATGCAGCAGATAAAGTATTCAAAACAAAATCTTGACTTGTCATTATGTCCCATGGGCAGGATAAAACTTTCTAAACCTGTTTTCCATCTGAAATTACAAGGCTACTGTAAGGATTAGTCCAAATAAAGTGAGTGTAGAATAAAACACTATACAGATGCAGCATGTTATGAGAATCCTTAGTACATCTGGCCCTTTCTGATTTAATTTTCTGAAAGGAGAACCACAAAGTTTTTTGCTTATTTGTTTGTTCAGTAGAAAGGCAGAATCATTCAGTTATTTTATGGGAGGGTTGGTGTTTTCCTTCATTTTGAGCAGTGGAATTTGTTTTTTAGATTGCACTGTGCAATTTTTGCTATATAACTACCAATTTTTCCATAACTCCCTCAGACTCCATAAGTCTTAGAGAACCTCTTTCTAATTTGAGCAAACCATGTCTCTATATAAGTTTCTCTATCTTGGAAAGTGAGATAGCATCACAGTTTACCTCATATGTTTTAAATCTAGACATGATTGTTTCTCAATTCTTTAGTATTAAGTTTTAATGAGTTGATATGGCTGTTTAAACCCAATTTAAGGGTTATACTTTCATGAGAAAGCCCTTTGTAAGGGAAAAACTCTGTGGGGGGAGAGGGGAGAGAGAGAGAGAGAGAGAGAGAGAGAAG